TATTAAAAACAAACTTTCAAATATAAGAAATAAATATAAAAATCGAATATCCATAAATAATGTTAACAAAATATTTGTGGAGGCACTATTTTGTGGGGCCCTTTAACGACCCAAGTTAAAAAAGCCTTCAATTAGATAAACCATACCCTTTTAACCTTTAAAACTATTTTGAGGATTAATATTTTTTTATTGAAATATACCTTAACATTCCAGTTTTTAAATAACTTTTTCATCGAAATAAATAGAAAGCTCTTCGTATATTGTACCTACTGGCTGGTATTTTATGTTTTAATATGAACATCTGGTTTGTTTACTTTTTATTGAAAGAAATGTGTAAAATACCACATAATGGTAACACTTTAACATGATAATGACTAATCTAACTTACGTTGAAACTGTACGAAGCATTCAAAAGATGCGTAGCATATGCTGATGGTGTTCACCAATAAAATCACCAGGAGTTTTAATGAGGGATGAAAGCGTGCGTAGAGAAATGAAAAGTTAAATATATCTTTGGATGACAGATTTCTTGGCAGAGAGCTAACTTTTTGTTTCTCTTTCAAATAATGTGCAAGAAAATGTCACGTACACATTCAAAACTAGAAAATCTCCCAAGAGTTAATCATGGAATTTTTAAATATGTTGATATAACTCTATCCTTTTTTTTTTTTGTAAGGTTTAGCATCAGGAAAAATGAAAATCATCATCAATGGGGAATCATTTTCATTGTGTTTACTTCATACACACCATAATCCTTAGACATTTGTAAAACAGTTCAACACAAAGAGAAAATTTGTTTTACATATGAGCTAACGCCATCTATTTCCTGATACTTTCAAAATAGCTAAATTAACAATGAGAATCCACTAAAAGTGAAACCACATTTAAAAACATATTATATAAATACTGATTATTATTACATACCGAAAAGTTAAAATAAGTTTAAAATATGTAACTTTATTTCAGATGCAAAGTGGGAACTTTAGTCGCATTTATAAAGTTTCAATATTAACCAATTCTAAGACAGAAAAAGAAAGAAATAAACTCGAATGGTTGAAAAAAAAGACAGACTTTTTAAGGACAATAAACCGTAAAGTTTAATTGGACAAATTACCATTTATAAACCTCACATGGAATTTTCAACACAATTTTATACGCAAATAGCTAGAGAAACAGATCAGAACAATAGGGTTCAGGTATAGCCGTCCTTAATTTTGAATCACTAGTCTGAAAGATGACAACCAATCAGCAGGGCCCATCACCACAAAAGCTTTGTCCGACTCTCTGAATTTAATAAAGAGACTGACAGCCTGTTCAGTAGCATCACGTGTCGAACCTTTTAATCCGCAGCCCTACACATTAACAATTAAACCACGCCCAGCCCCACTGGCTAGTCGTTTTATTAGTACTGGAATCAAATGTCCCGTGTATTTAAAAAAATGTACATATAACGAAGCAATGAAGCTTACTGTATCCGTATCAAGTGCACACGAATCTCATACAAAATTCGGCTAAAATTGACTCTGAAGGTTTTGTCAGTGTTTGCCTTCAAGTAATAAATGTCTGTAATATCTTCCTCTAATTCTACTTTCGCTATATACATCAATATTCTGACAGAATATAGAAAGAAAATGAGCTAAACTCCCTTGTTTTAAGTTTTGTTAACGATATTTCTGTTAAAGTTCTTAAAACATCAGTAGCGGGTAAGCAGTAGAAGGCATTTCTGTTTCCAGTATCTCGTAACGATTCTAGTCCAAGTGTAAACAAGAGTGGCGAACCGACTTTTTATTTTCTGTCATCGTGAAACTACACCATTGGGGACGGCTTGGGTCACACCGAAGGAGGGGAAAGAGTGCATTGACAGTCTACATGTGTTAATTTATCAATTCACGATCTTTGACGACTGAGCTGAATTTTTGAAACCTTGAACCGGCTCTCCAAAAATGGTGTTTTCGCTCAAACTTACACAAGGGATATTTACGAATAGCCGTTCATAATTTTCAATTGATAAATGAGATAGAAGGCAGTCAACAGCATCCACCAGTAATTCTGGTTTGGCAGAATATAGAAATTTTACCAACACTCTATAACACACTTAACAGCCCCAAAATGCGAATAATGTAGTTTCGGTAACGGGATGCAAACCACATATTCATGTATTGACAGTCCCAGACCCTTACCAGGAATTTTTTGTTTCTGTTAAAGAGATTCTATGCGTATATTAATCTGTACCAGCTTCGTCAATACTCTAATTGTGATGTTCTTGAAATGAACTTGATGAGACATTTTTTATTACTTATCGTGATAGAGAAGGTTAGGTATACCACATTCGGTTTCAGTAGCCACTGTTTAGCGGCAGCAACAACTTATGTGTTCATTTTATAAAAAAAAAAAACGTTAGAAATCTTTCAGTTTGGATAAAACTTTCCAAGTTTACTAAACGTGCAATAATCGATATTAAAAACAGGAAGTGCCGAGTCAACTTTTTTCATGTTACATTAAGTGTCCGAATGTATTAAGTAGCTTTTGTAATCATACACCCCTAGAAATAACGTCGTTTAAAACAAGTTAACCAGTTTTTCATGTGATTATTTTAGTTGATATTTATGAATATAGGAAACACTGAAATTTTTCTGAAGAATTTCAAAAGAAAGCAAACGTTAAAAAAATAATTTGAACTAAAAATAATAATGGAAATGTTTGGGTAATAAAAAACAAAGTTTAGATCAAAGTACGTGCGCAATTGACACTTCGCCAACAAACAAGGGAAGTCTAGACTTCAGAATATTGCCAGCTAGCTCCAAGTACTGCAATTAAATAACCAGGGAGCTATAATACTAGAAGCTATCTAACCTTCACAAAACTGGGTTAAGCACTTTTTAATTTTCCTAACTTTAAATGTTCTATTCTCATGTGCGTTGTTTATAAACCCTTGCATTACCAGCGCAGTAGATATAGGCCCCATAATTTTTTAAACTTTATGCACCAAATTGCTCGAGGGCCCATGACTTTCTTGGTTACATATTCGTCACATAAGTGTAAACAAAAATAGTCAATCCTACTAATTATTGCTGTGATTTCCTGTAGTATTTTAACCTTTCGTTTTTGGTCGGTTCTTCACAATGAATAACAGCCCAAAACACAACATTACTCAAATTGATGCAATACGGGGCACCCACTGGTGGTTAGCGGTATACGAACAAGTCGGTAATTTGAGGGTTAGTTAAGAATCAAATATGAAAACAACTAACTGTGACTAAAAGTTTAAATATTCTTATCGTGCGACTAACTCCGTGGAATCGTTTGTCGACTTCATTGTTGAATAGTTATTGACTCGACTATAAAGCTCAATGCTGTTTGAACAATGATGCATTCTCTACCTTTCCTAAAAACTAGTATAAAACTGAGCAGCTGGTGCCAAGTGCTCGACAGCTGTACTGAAAGAATCTACACTTGGCAATAAGTTAAAAAACTCTTCACTGCTACTTTAACTTACCTTGCACGAGAAGATTGACGTCACACACTGAACACGCTTACGGTCAGCTTCTGAATCGCCGTTACGTTTATTCGCAAATAATTAAAACCGTCAAAATACCCAGCCACAACAATTCATTGCACAATTCCATCCTAGCTCCGCCCACGTTTACGAACTAGCTAGCTTAGCACGTGTTACGCGTGCAGTCCGTCCTAATGGTATGGTTTAAAATAGCATTTCTCTAACGTGTGCACGGTTAGTTTTGATGATACAGCATCCACTGTCGCTATGCTTGTGTAGCTATCTAGCATGCCCTCTCTCTTAATATCTCGGATAACACAACGTCAACAGCAAACTTCAAGAACCCACAAAGTACCGTAATAAAGAGCCAAGTAATTTCTGGCCCTATTATCTTCTTGAATATCAACATCGATCAACTTTTCATCACAGGATAACCAAAATTACTTTAAGTTTTCAAAACAAAAATATATTTGAATGAAATACGGTTTTACATTCAGACGAAACGTTATTTCTCTGTAGTTTTTTTTTCCTTCATCTATTAACTAGTTTTTATTCCCGTGAAGTATCTTACGTTAGATTTAAACCAAAAAAAAAAGTGAAACGTGCTTATGACTATAATTTAATAACACGTGTGTGCGTTTATCAACTAGGGAAAAAAAGTTCATATTTCAAACTATTTCGTTTAGTTCTTTCTGATAATTCGTTCCCTCAACTAACATTTCAGTTAAAGATGAACTTTGTACTTGTAAATACATAACATAAAATTTCGTGTGATAGGTATACATAATGATGATACCATTTTTCAAATGCTAAATTTATTACTGATGACTTTATTATAAGATTCACTGATAGATACTATCGTAACAACAAAGGATCAAACAATGCATATTTGTACAGAGTTTATCTTTATAAAATTTTGAGAAGAACATTATGGTTTCGCCATTAGAAATGTCAACATTATTTTTAAGTGTAAGGGAAAAGAAATAACGTTTTTTTTAGAGAACGCAAAAAATACACAACATGAATTATAGCACGTTAAAATTCTAAAAACCCACGAGTGAAAGCAAAGGAGTGTTATAACTTATCAACCACACTACATCTGTCATATCCAGTACCGGCAAGGCCTTTCGCTCAATACCAAAATTCATCTGGAATACGAAAACTTAGTAGTTGTATACATCATTAATTTTCATGATCAACTGTTACGATTTAATAGGTTCTGTGCATTAGAACTTCTACACTAATTTTGCAAAGTATAATAAGTTTTGTTTTATTAAAACGAATTTTTAACCTAAGAGTATACAATGTGGCCAAGATTATTTATGAAATTACTCGATTCAGTTTCGTAGGGTTTTGAAAGACCAAAACCATGTACCGTTTTCAATTCCTACGATAATTTAAAGCTAAAATAAAACGTGTGTTTGGATTCAAAAGTTCACTTTATTTTTACCAAGAACAAGTTCAAATGTATAATATTGTAATACCATTCAGACAAAAGTCGGAAACAAGACAATATGGAAGCACTTTATTATAAACATCAACCCACAACAACTGATACACAATAGAACCAACAACACATATGACATTGAGCTGTTCTGATTTTAAAAAACTCCACGCGATATTTATTCCATGTCAAATTGAAGGACCATTTAATAATAAAGACCTCTTATCACAGGAGACAAATTATTCTCTCAAAGTACAGCAAATTATATGGTGTGTGTACTATTTTATCACTAACACTTATAGATCACAGAGCATTTCCAACCATCTTGAATTTCTTCTTCAAGTTGGTCGATACACTGATATAAGCTGCACCTTCTTTTCCATAGCTAACCATAAATGTAACCTATCCTAAAACTACCAGAGTTATAGGTCTGAAAAAACAAAAAAACTAGATGTGGCAGATTCTCAAAAGTACATAAAAAAATTAGTACTTATCTCTTCCATTAATTTAAATGTACACAGTTATTCATTCACATAAAAACGAACTTAATTAAAATTTGAAACATTTCATGAATGATACTAAAACAATGGGTTTCAGCCAGTATATACTGGCAACAGCCCTCATACATAAAAACACCAAATTTTCTATAATTGTAAGTCTTACAAGTGAATGGCAGCTGTAGTGATGTGTTTTTGTTTCTATGTTCATGAACATTTTTATATATAAAACACATGAAAATCCTGCACCACAACAGAGAATCTTTCCCGGACTAAGTTAGCTTGCAGTCTATAAATAAATTTTATTATACATAAATACAGAACAGAATGATTTGTCTCCTGGATTAAATAATATATGAAAATGAAATTATTTATTTTAGGAATGGAGAACAGGTAGTGTAAAATTATGTAAAACTCACTAAAACCACTTACAAAAAAGGAAAACATATATAATACATAACACGTGAAATACACAAGCAATACTTTAAGAATCAACATACCAAAAATCACACATCACAGGGAACAAATACCAAATCGCTAGTTTTAAACTGACTGGACCACCATTACTCTATGGTAATAAATTTAAATATTTCTATCTATGTATGTTGCCACACTTCTAAAAATTGTTCTGCAATGTTAATACAATTAGTGCACAAAATAAACTCTTACTTGAGTGGCATGGGAAGTCCATTTCAGTATTCTTCTTTGACAAAGATAACATGTATAATAAATTCAAAAGCCCTTAACTAATTAATTTTCCATAAATTTTTCTAAATTTCTAAATTCTCCATCTTAAAGTAAAGAAAATTTTGTGTCTATACTTTTAAAACGAGCTTTAACAGGGTTTTGAAATGAAGACCATTTCATCTTTTTTTTTGGGAGGGGGCATTTTATAATTTTGGTGTAATATGTTCTAAATTTTACAATAAGACTTACAACAAAAGAATTCACAACAAGGTTAATTTTGTCACTTTTCTATACCACTCTTTCTTCTGCACAAGTGTCAAAAACGTTTACATACAGTTTTGCACTGATAGGACTCTTCAAGGATACAGCACCTACACCAATTGCAGACTGTTCCCAAATCCATGCAAGCTTACTGAACAAAAATGCATACAATAAAATACCCAAGAGGAAAGTTCATCCAATTAACTGTAACATGTTAAAAATGCCTCTAAGTGCTTAAAGTTACTTTTGTGATATCACTATTTGATGAAAAAGTATCGTATTGTTCAAGACTTGTGCAGAGAAATAAGTGCACAGAGTATTAACTGAGGAAGCAAAAAAAGTCTATAAAAATTAAAATGCAGGTTTATGTTATCTTAATATAATATAATTTATTATTAAAGCAGAATTTCTTTGGGTGGTACTAATGTCTTTATACTTGTTCAAGAAAATTTAAACATTTAATAAATTCCAGCAATTTTTAAATTTATTTACTAACACCTACCATCAAATCACCTGGAGACAACTTTTCTACAAAATGCACTCTGAAAGAAGGAATGATGGAAGAACTAACCCACAACTAGCTGCCTTCCTATTAAACAAACACAATGGTCATTTCCCAATAACTCAGAGATCAGTGTCATACCAAGCAGTCAGCTGGGCACTGCCATCTTGTTGAGAAGGGGGGTGGGGTAAAGTTGACTCTAAAGTATCAAAGTTCAAGTCACCTGGTGACCCTAAATCCATGTCTGTATCCATTGGGGCATACCCAGTGCCACCTCCATGGGGTCCACCAAGATCCAGCCCTTGCATGGAATCAATAGGGACCTGTGAATCAAAACCTAAGAACAGAAAATATTAGTTAAACTCCTGCTAAGTAAATGGATAAAAAAAAAATTACACTTAAATCCTTTTTTATGTAAGAGTAACAAAAAACATTACAACAAACAATGAAACTTATTAAACTGCTAAAACAAAACAATATCGCACAAGAATTTTTTGCTTTAATATATATTTTTTTCAGCAATATCCACTATTTTCCACACAGAGACAAATGTGGCTTTAGAAAGTATAAAACTGCATATCACATAAATTCTTTCAAGTATATAACAGTACAATAGTAACAACATCCCTAACACATACAAAGTACTGTGTTTTGTGTTTTTCTTGTAGCAAAACTACATCAGGCTATCTGCTGTGTCCACTGAGGGGAATCAAACCCCTAATTTTAGCATTGTAATTCCAAAGACTTACCGCTGTCCCATCAGGGGACAACACAAAGTCAACTACACTGTGTATAAGGCATTAACAGAATAGGTATTTACCTCTGCAAATACATAAGCATTTTGTACCTTACATTTCTATGAAGCAACAATTTATTGCTTGTTCTCCTTGGTTCTATGATGTGTATTTCCTTTAGAAAGTAAAAAATGTGTTTAAGAATTGAGGGTACTGCCAATTTTAATTTATAGGAATAAAAACAAAAAACTTAAATGTCAGCCAAGTTTCACAAACCTGAAAGAAAATGTTGACCGAAAAACAATTTTTTAGAGACTAAAATATTGTGCAAGACAATATCCAATACCAACTTTTGTGCAGTTAAAAACTTTAACCCTATTGCTACAGGTCACAAGTCAAAGGCCATGTCATCATGTTTGCAGACTCGCATTCAAAATTTTATTGAACTACTATTTTATGAATGTATGTCAATAAGTTAGGTATCAAATTGTAGCTTATAATTCAAATTTTAGCATTATACATTAGTTAATTTCTTAATTTAAAAGTAAATATTAAAAAAAAATACCTATATTGATTTTTGTGTGTCACATGGTATACTGAATGCAGCATTGGTTCAAATTAGATGTCTGTGATGTCAAAATGTAAAGTCTATAGTTTTGTACGAATTAGGAATTCAAATTACCGATATTGACAAGCCAGAATATAAAATAAGATCCTCCTATCTTTTCTATTGGCTGAGATATCTCTACATTTAGTGAATCAAACACAGTGGCCCTGCCCACCTCTTTCCATTTTTGGAAATGCTTACATACACCTACTTCTGTTTATGAAGTGTAAATAACCAATCAAAAGCTCAGAATGTACTCCTAGTGGCTTTCTCAGCCTCTTTAAAATATTCGGATGGCAAATTCTTTCTTTTGACGCAAGATTCCAAGCAGTAAGGTAAGACTTTAGTGAACTCTAAATTTTTAGACCCAAATACAGCTTAGTTATTAAGTTTGATAAATTATAGTGGAATTCTATGGTACTGATATAGTCATTTTTAATTTTTAGTTATTTCAAAGTGTATGTATAACACCTAAACAAACATAAATTATGACTGCAAATTGTAACATGAAAACACAAGTTTAGTCTAAATAGCTGAAATCTCATAACATTATACATTTATATATATTTATTTTTTATTCTATTGACCTTTGAGCCGTGTCTGGCTAACATGACAGAAGTTGCAATGACGAGGCACACGTACACTTGTGTTACTGTATCTAAGAATATAAAACTGGCCTCTACAAAGTTACCTGTCTTAGCTGTGTTTTAGTGGACTAGTATTTTGTAAAATAGTCACATTTCACTTATATATGTATATACATTATTACTATTTTTAAACATGTTTTTCTTAAAACATAGAACAGTAAATAAAGAAGTATAGCAAACAAATTATCTTTTGTAATTATGAACTTTGTCTTCATTTGCTGTTTGCCATAGATTGCTAAGCCATATCAAATTTTGCTTGGGAGGATGTGAAACAAAATCAGTTTATTTCCTAATTTGTTATGGTGGTTATGATGTCAGTCAAATCTACCCAACCTGTACAGAGATACAGTAGTGTAAAATAACAGATAAAATAGTCTTTTTTCTAAAAAAGCATTTGATAATTATCTGGAGGTTATAAAGATTTCCCATGTGAAATTTGAAAATATTCTGATGCAAAAAAGTATTTTTAATATTAAAATCAAAATTACTTGTTGGATACTCAGCATTTGAAAAGAAAAAAAAAGGCACTGATAAAAATATTATGTTAGAAATCTTAAAACTTGTTTAAAAAATCTGAAATTTTGCGTACAAAATCCTTGTAATGTTTACTATAATCTGCGAAATTATCTAAAGATACGTGTACATTATCAAAAATCATAGTATAATTATCCTCATGGATATTTTAGTGGTTACAAGGTGGGTGGATCCCACCCAGCCTGTATTGGTAGGGTTAACACATAAAGCCTAAAACAATAAAAGCAGGAAAAAAAAAACTTTTAGATAACTTCTCACACAGCAACCCTAAATCCTTAAATCTTATATTTTTGAAGTATTATTAACAGTCTAGTTTTAAGTAGATTTTTGTAACAGAATACTAAATTTCTTAAGAGACAAAAATATTTTTTTCTCTTCTTCTCAACATATTTCAATGAACACCAACATCAAAATAACTTTAATTAGATATAATGTTTTAACTATCATAGGAAAATGTCCATAAAAGTTAATTAGTTATGTACATCTGAGATAATACATAATAAAAGTTATAGCATACCAAGTTACTGATCCTCGGATTAGAAAGCACAAATAAAAAAGAAAAATAGGCATTAATACAGATACACAAACAAAGAATTCTGTCTCTCAAAAACAAATACATAAACAGCAACCCCAAACCCTGATAAAAAAACAACCAAAAATTTTAATTTTTACTTTGCATCTTAAGGTCTAAAAGATTGCATATATATATATATATATATACATTGAACAAACAAATATCTATAAACTTGCTGCTCTGTATATAGTTTTTCTTTTTTTTTTTTTTATCAAACTGCATGTACCTTACTATACTTTATGGTGTTTATAAAGTTTGTGTTTATTATAGATTAATTTATTACCAAACAATATATAAAAAAATACTAAAAACTGATGATGAAGCAACAAAATAAACAAGAGTATATTAATTATGGCTTGTAATGCTAAAGGTATATTTAGTTTTTGTAATTAAAACAGTTTTTCTCAGTGGGATCTGCATTTATCAATAAATCTAAAATAATAATAATCTTTAAAAAAATACTTTTGAACCAATTATATATACACAAAAGTTTAAGCAACAACCTTATTAGATAATGATATGCTTTTCTCGTATTACAAGTTCTTAACCAAGTTGCAGAAAAGTTTCTAAGCAGAATTAAGTTTCTACTTAAATATCATAACTTTATTTAGAATTAATATCATTTGTAGATTGTGAAACTTGCAATATTTTGTTGAAACTGTTTTTGAAGAGAAGAGATAAAAATAAAAATTCTCCCTTTTGTCATAAAATTTAATTTTTCTTTTATTATTATCAAAAAGTTCACAACTTGTTTGATATTTAAATAAAAGTTCAAAGATACATTTTTTGAGTGCATTATTTGTTCAACTTTATTTTTATGATGTTTCGACACTTGTGTGGCCATCACCGTGTCTATTTTGAGACAGTTGCCTGAAGATGGCCACACGGGCGATCAAAACGTCGTAAAAAAGTTAAATAAAAATATATAATATGCTCAAATACTGTATCGTTGGATCTTTATTTAAACTGTATAGTGGATTTCCTCTCCTCGCAACAAGTTGTTTGATATTTATTAATGTATTTCTCTTCATACTTTATTTTACCAATTCTAGTAGACACCACTTCTGGCTTTAAACCTTTCGAGACAGGTCACAGGTGAAAGGTCATGTCATCTCGTTTCTTGACTCTCATTCAAAATTCTATTGAACTAATATTTCATGAATTTATGTCAATAAGTTTGGTATTAAACTGTAGATTATAACCCAAATTTTAGAACTAGACATTACTCAATTTGTTAATTTAAA